CATCTCTTGCAGTTGTTTAAGATGGAAGATGTGAGTGTTGGAATGTGGGTGGAAAATTTCAACAGCACAAAACCAGTGGAGTACGTTCACAGCCTCAAGTTCTGTCAGTTTGGATGTATAGAAGATTATTACACTGCTCATTACCAATCTCCGAAACAGATGATCTGTCTATGGAACAAGTTGCAACAGCTAGGCCGCCCAGTTTGCTGTAACATGAGATGATAGTTGGTGATTAACAGGGAAGCCAGTTGCCCTGTTCGCTAATCGTCGAATAGATAGCAAATTTTTGAAGCCAAATATCAGTTTCCCCTTTTTTGTAAATTCTGCAAAAGGTCCTTTTTTAGGTTGTTCTCTAGGACCATATAGGTGTCTAGTTCAAGATTCATTCATTATTTTCCTCCCTCCCACTTTCCTCCTTTCCTTTCTCTTACCATTATTCTAGTTTTTGTACCTCGGTCGAGTCTAGCCGTGATGATGATGATGATGAGAAATATGCACCCCTGGTGAACAGCCTTATCCAGTTGGAAGGTTTTGTAATCTAATGTAGAGAAAAAAAAACAGTACATGGAAATGAATCCTCAACTTTCCAGATAATGATCAGGTGTATATCTATAAATTATTGATTGGATATGGAACCATTCTATGGTTATTAAATTAGAAGCTACTCTTTCACATTATCTTTTAATTTTCTACTTAATTTGGCTAAGTGGGAAAGCCCATGTGAGGAAGTTGGTTTATATTGCAAAATTGGTAACCACCAAATTATTCTTTTAATCATTTTTATTCGTGCATCCGTTCTCTTTTATTTGCCTCTACTTTATTTTGTGGTTTGTTCCTTTGAGTTTATCTCATAATTTGTCTTCAGATTATAGATAATTATAGACAATTGCAAACTATTGTACTCTGCATTTATCATATTTCTTCCGTCTCAATGCACTAGTTTGATCTTAGATGTGTAAAAATAAATACTCTGCAATACCTAACCAACTAAACATCCTGCATCATAAAATATGATTTTAATACAAGGTATAATATAAATTATTTTGAGACGAAGAGAGTATCCTTTAAATAACTCTACTTATCCACCGGCCAACAAAAGAGAGCATAATTTCTTGATATTAACAATTTTATAGTCATTGGTGTTTAAAGTAAAAGAAAAATAAAAGATCGAACGACAAAGGTGGTGTGTAACTTAAACTTCCGACTTGTTGTCCATGAAAAGATCGTAAATTGCACATGAGTATGTTCCCTTAATAATGAATAATGCTACGTATGTGCTCTACTTTGGGAACATGGAGACGTATTAACATTTTTGGAACTTTAAAGCAGTTTGTTCCCGAATGGTATATTGGTTCTAACTTGTGGCTATCACTATGAAGTGTTTCAAGACAATTATGCAAGCGATTATTGTTACTTGACACATTAATGGTGAGCGATTATTTGGCTAATTCTAACACAGTAAAATAAAGAGGAGAAAGGTAAATCTTACTTCGTAGTATTTTTGGCCTTTTTACTTCAATAAACAAGTATAATGTACTTAGGGTCTGTTCTTTTCAATTCTTAATTTCCTTCTCTCATAAAATATTCAATTCAGTCAATTAGAACAAGTTACACCCTTTTTTCTAAAATGCCAAAAGTAGTAGAGGTATGACTGATAGACTGATAGACTGATAGTAATTTTGAGAGTGAGTGTATAGAATGATAATAGGATATGGATGGGTATTTGAATACAAGTAAGATTTTATTTATTTTATGGTATACAAAAGTATTGTATTTTCTTTATTTCATCCTTATCCCTCTTTAATCTCAATCACCCTGAGCGAACATTAGATTTTCTTTACTCTTGCCGTGTATAAAGTTATCTTTATCATCCCTTCTTATCCCCTAACAAATATCCACATAACAAGTCAAAGGAATATTATTACTATTTTAGGACAGGGCGAGTAAATAATGTTGTATAAGTTGCAAGACTATAGCAACACCATTGATGAGAAATGACTAGTCTAAACAAAGAAAGAAATCTTAGAAATTTATATGTAAATTGTAAGAGTTGACACCATTCACGCTTCACGCTTTCATTTCTTGTCATCATACTAGCGTCTTTTACGTATAAGTTGAAATTAGCCTCACACTTTTTTTGTAATCTTTTCATTGTTTTTGATTCGTGAATTATGGGTTTGTTGTGGCCTTATTTTCGTCTCTACCTTTTGTGTGTGGTTTTTGGGTTGTTTTTGTACTCATTTTGGGTGTTTTTGTTGATCTAAGGTTTGTTTTTGTTTTGATTTAATTAAAAACTAATCTCAATGAAATATATGGTGATTTTTTCTTAACATAGGTGGGTAAGTGGCTAATTGGCTATGTGTTGGAGTTCCACCAAATAATCGAGGTGAATCGGTTGGTGAGACCATCTATCTCCGATTAACTGCAAACAAGTTTCGACTTTTATTGGCTCATTGCCCCTTTTTCTTAATGTTTAAAGTATGAAATAATGAAATATTATATTACTTTAAAAAAATGTCAACATTAAAAATGTGTTCGGGTTGAAGAGATTATATTTATAAAAAAATAAAATAAATAAAATAAAATAAAAAAGGATTATAATTTCAATAAATGATGTAAGAAAATCACCCATATAATCGCAATGTCCATGTTTAGATATGTAATAAACTACTCTTGTATTAATCTTTTTAATAGCAGCAATTATGATGAGTATACCCATCAAGCTTCTTGGCATCAATGAAGATGCTAGCTATTGGTTTTTTTTTTTTTTTTTTTTTCAAATCACCACACTCTATGAGCCATAATGAGTCACAAAGAGTAATGACATAGAGGTTATAAGCTTATAACAATATTAACGGGTTCAAACTACCACATTTCAAGACTTAAACAATTAAGCTAGTTCACGCGCACTTTTGCATTATACTTTGTACTAATTATGTTATGAAAGTGTTGGATTAAGTCAAACTACCACATTTCAAGACTTAAACAATTAAACAATCTTAGGATCGATTCTCATCACCCGCCCTTGTAGCTCTCTAAACACTAAAAATTACACGTCTTTGTTGTTTAGGAATGAGCTTACTTTTCTTGTATGTAGTATTGTAGCCCATTAATGTAACCTTGAAAATTGAGTGTATGAGAATGGGCTTAGAATAAGACCCAACGACACAAAAAGGGCCCATCTAAAAATAAAAAGGGAAATTAAGGCCCATATATATCATTCCATCAATCAAGACATTCAGACTAAATATATTTGCCCAAGTTCAAGATTTAACCCAAAACGAAGCCCAATTCAAAGCCCATCCCTCAACTACAAGCTGGTTTGAGATTTTCATCCTTAAAATAAAACTTCTCAAATAAACATTTTGTTCCAATATAAGTACTTCTTAAGATCTATCTTAGGATCTTTGAAGTTTGAAGATTTTATGGTGAGCTAAAAGTTGCACACACATACTTAACAAGTGAGTACACAATATTAGAGATGACAAACCAAGTGTGAGTTTCATGTCATATTCTATTGATATGTTATTCGGTTTATGTATTTTTGTTTAGTTTTGTTCAAATTCAAGTCTATTATCAATTAATTTAATTACTATGAACATTAATTATATTAATTAGTTGTATTAATTTTTCTTCATCTAGGTTAAAATTGAGTTATTTTATTTCAGATTGAGTTCGAGTCAAAGGTGGAGCAAACCAACACTTAGTCATGATTATCTAGATAATAATAGCTATGCATGACAAGCTTATTAGAGTGAATTCGGCTAATCAAAGTGGAGAAGTTCCATGGGATGAATGTTCATGAAATGAGTGGATTTTTGAGGAAAGTTAACAAATTTGAATCTTTTCTTTAGTAATCTCATCAACTAGAAACCATTCGAGATTGAAAGGAAGAGATAAAGTTATGGCAATTGTGAACGATGAAGAAAATAAAGAAGCAGAAATTTGTAACAAGGATAAGATTTTGTATCTTGTGAAAAGATGGCGGAAATCTAGTGTTTATATCAACGCAAAATAATGCATGCAAATTGCAAACAATAAATTGTGGATTTCAACTAAGGTAATCTATTCAAATCTAGCACTTATTTACTCCGTTTTTTTTTCTTCTAAGGTTTACTCACTATATATTACAATTTATGTGACCTAAAGACATAATCTATCTTCAATTCAGATTTAAAGTAAGTCTCATCTTCTACAAATAAAAGAATACCAATAGTAATGCTTTTATACAAGATCAAATAGTACAAGTCCAATTTTAGACTTTTAGTTAATCTGATTATTATTTTTGAAATCAATGTGATTAATCTTTTTCCATGTTATTGCCTAAACTCGTTATACTAATTATTTCAATTTTAGGTCGCTTCAAGGTAGAGTTGATTTCCTTGGACATATGCCAAGGAGTCAATGACGACTTATATTTTGTCCACACACATCCTCCTAAGTGTAAACATGATTAATGACCACTATTTTGGCCAAACATAAACAAACCAAGTATATTTTCACTCCAATAGAACCGTATTCAACTCGGATTATTCTCCTAATCCCCTTAATTAGACTTTTCTTAAGTCTTTTTCTATCCCTTACCATTTCTCCACCATATAGATTCCTTAATAATTTCAACATTCAACCTCCAACTCTCTAAGCTCCCACGCATAACATCACCAAACAACATACTACTTTCGTCCCCTTTCGTTTGCTCTATGAAGATAAAATCATTTTTTCAAGAGTACGATGTGAGAGAAAAGGGGCGACCAATTGGTGTACTGTAGAGTACAATTACAATTTCACAATTACTGAAAACAATTGAACTGAAATGAATTGAATTGATTGGAGTTGAACTGAAATGAATAAAACCGAAATGAATTGTTTATAGGATATTAAAAACTGAACTGATTAGAACTGAACTGAATTGAAATTAAGCTGAAAAGGGAATCCATGCAAACATTGAGAGAGAGACAAATGGACGGAAGGTAATTAAATTAAACAAACAAGAATGAAAAAGATAGTGCACAAAACCGTTGATATAGTAAATAAAGTACTCTGTATATTTTATGAATCCACAAAATTATGAGTTAGTGGCAGTCCACCACGTAATATGTTTTTATATATATACAATATCAATGTTGAGATTGTTAACCAATTGTTCCATTAAATATTATTTTTATTTTTTTGAAAAAAAAAAACACCATTACAACAACCAAACACTACTACCATAATATAAAATTATCATCTTAAACCATTGACTTTATTTTTTATTTTCTTTTATTTCATTAAATCTTCTTCAATTCGATCATCATCTTATTCTTTCTCTCTCATAAAGCTAATTAAGTTTACTGGTTATGAACATTTAAGCTTGTTTCTCTCTCTAAAATCTTAGTGACCTGTTTGATTGCTGATTAAATAGAAGAAGAAGAAAAAGGAAAAGGAGGTTAGTTTGGTAATTTTACATGGATCAAAAGCTAGTTCCACAGTTGCATAAAGCTGAGTCAAGTAGCAGACATGGAAGGCTTGAGAGATTCTCCCATTATGTTGGTAATTATTCAATCAATCTTTTTGTTCTTCTTAGCTTTTTTTGTGTTTTTGGTTCCTTTTTTAATTTGTTGATTAATTATTTATTATGATTATTGATTATGGTGGAAATGTGTACATTTTCTTTTGAATTTAACTTTAATTTCTTCTTATGTCAAATTGTTTATAAAATAATGTATAGTAAAGATGAAATTAAGCTATACATATATGTTGCCATTAATAAAAGGCAAATTTTTAGAAAGAAAATGCACTTTTATCTTTTACTTTTGGAAAAATATATATATTGGTAGAATTAAGGCGTGGTTTACCTATAAATAAATCAACTAAGTAATGAATCATATTTCTCGCGAAGTAAAGTTAAGATAGATAATTATACTATAGATCAACGAGCGATTTTGTCATGCATATTTATATATACTTCATATTCCTTGAACAACATTTGTTAGGATTTTATAAAATGGTTAAATTTGGATGCAAAGAAGATTAGTATGTGAAGCGTAGTTTCATATAAAATGATCCTGTAATAGTTTAATGAACATGGATGATTTTTTTCTACTCGTATTATGTATGCTATATAGTAGTATAAAGATAAATTTATAAAAATAAAAAAAATCTTTTTTTTTTTTGAGTTATTGTTAATTGCTTTTAAAGTTACATTGCCATTGTGAGATTGACTCGAGCAAAAATTACTTTAAAAATGAAAAATGAAAGGTATGTTAATGCCTAATCAAGTTGCAAAACCAGACAATAAAGTAATATCCAGTCAGATTGAATAAAAGGAATTGTATGGTAAAACACACTGGCACTGAAAACTTTAGCAAAAGTATCTTTATTCTAATCGTACTAGTATAGGAAAGGTTGCTATCAATCAACAAAAAAAAATTTAGGAAATAATGAAGTACAAAAAAAATAAATAAAATCTGTAATTAGAAACACTGTAGTAAATTATGGAGATTTGAGGCAGAAAAAAGGACCTACATTGAAATAAGTTGAGGATAAACCATAATAAAGTCAATTTTGGCATTACTATACAATCATAGGACTGTATAATTTTGTAAATGGACCATATTGAATTATTGATATATGATCCTCATTTATTACGTACAAAATATATGGATTCAAGAAGATAATTTTTTTTAAAAAAAAAAAAAAGTAATATGCTGTAGTTCGTTATAATTGTGCACCAATTTTAAACAACTAAATTAACATACGAAGTATCATGTTATTCCTTTAACTTCATATGTTTTTGTCAATGGTTCAACATTTAGTAAATTTTCTGTCTTAGTAGGAGTAACTTTTATAGCAACTCTAACTTAGTATAGTGAAGAAATTTACCTTTCTTCTCTTTCCAAATGTCATACGCTAAATATTACACCGTAACAAAATCAAACTTTTTTTAATCTTAACGGCAAACATTCCAACAAACCTGCCATGTCTTACTATCATTTTCTTACAAATTATTTGCTATAATAATTTCATAGGCAAGTATATAGAGTACATAAATATATCATGCTCTTTTGATTATAAAATACTTTATACTCGTATATAATAAGAATCCATATAATAAAATAAATTGACGTCATATAAGTACATATCTAATTATAGATGATGATTACACCCCCAACAACAATAACAACTTTTTATTAGTTTAGTTTTCAAGTTTTAAAAGATATAATTTATTAATCCTTACTTTTGGAAATCCAATGTTTCTTCATTTTGTTAATGTAGGTATTTTCTTTTTCAAACTTGGCACAAAGGAGTTAGTTTTTCTGCTGTTCATTTTTAGTTCTTATAGAATACTACATATAGCATTATTCTTATATTTATCGTACATTGACATATTTGTAGCAAGACAAATTGGGTTTGATGATCCAAACGAGTGCCCTCAGTTGTGCAAGTTGGCAAACGACTATTTGAAGAAAACAGAAGGAAGTGAAAGTTTTATCTATGAATTTTTCTCCAATGAACCAGATGCCGAATCTCTTTATGTCAAATTAATTGAAGAATTTGATAAATGCATTCTTAGTTATTTTTCTTTTCATTGGAGCCGAACACCTTCCATGATCAGTCAGGTACATACATTTTCTTTATTTAATCATCAACCATAAGTTGCTTTGACGGATATTGATTTACAATAATAAATCCCTCACCCCTAATTTGCTTTCGAAAAATTTCTAAATTTTTATGTTTGGTTTGCTATATTAATTATTTTTTGTAAAATGAAGGTCTTGGGAAATAATGATCATGAGAAGAAAAGGTTCAAAGACCTTGTGATGGCAGCTACAAGGTTAGTCATAATTCTTATAAACAAAGTATAATCCTTAGGTTTAATAAAAACAAGTTACATGTGATTTATGATATCAAATCTTGTTAATTTTGACTATTAAATTATATTATTAGATCTTTGTATAACTGTATATAATAATACTTCGTACAGTATTTTTTACCACTTAATCAATTGTGAATATTTTATAAAAATATGTGGTTGTCATAATATATAATCGAAGATGATAAAACAAAAAAGGGGGAGAATATTGGCTGAGCAATTATATCATGCATGACTACATACCTACTGACTACAGTTCTATCATCCGCACGAATCATGTGTTCAGAAACTAATAATGCCACAATTATTGATTAGTATTATACTTCAAATTACTAATTTCACTAGACCAAGTGGTGGCTATTATTATTATTATTATTATTATTATTATTATTATTACAAACTACGAAGTATTTGTTAAAGATTGTAAGACTTGTGCATTATTAGGACAAATAAATGTTTTATTTAAAATAATATTTATTCAATGGGTAAGGGTAACGGTTCTTCTAATTTATATCACGTATTTGTTGGTTGTTATACCAGCTTATTTTGATAGCAAGTTGGTGTGGACTTGTGGTGCATATTTTAGTTCTCTGTCACGTCTCACATGAAACTATCTAAAAAAGAGATAAAAACTTCTCTAGAATACAACCTACGAACAAATTATTTATTAAATCAACTTAGGAGGCTTACTCCAATCCCTGGAAAATTTATTATGGTTGCTTCATTAGCTTCTAATTAGTAGTTAATTAGTTTCTCACAAGTCATAATATTCTATGATTACGTAAGTAGTTAGTGCCTTAGTGGTAGACCGCTCAATTAGTTCACATCAATTACGCGGAAATTTGTCAATAATTTAGTGCTCTACTTGTTAGCAACTTAGCACTAACAATCTAATGTAGACTTTGTATGCAAAGTTTACTTTTAAAGTTACCTTGAAAACTTTTGTGTAAATTATACTTTTTGAATTGACTTAATTAATGACACGATATCTTTGAGGATTGACTCACATAAAACATGACTTTGAGAAAATTTTAAATTATTATCCTAGTTTGTACTCATTAATCCTGATCCAAAATACAAGCTAAGTAGTCTTAATTAAAGTTTGATAAATAATTTTTGTATAGTTAAATTTGTGATGTTATAAGTTTATTTTTCAAACTAATTAAAAATAAAAGTGTTAGATTATTGTACCAAATATATTTTTTTTTTTACATGTTAAACTAAACTAGCTAGGTACATTGTTACACATACAGAAAACAAAGATTCGATAGGGTGATACATAGTTTGAAGGTGACACGAGTGTTCGCAACGTTAGTTGAGGAGATGAAGGCGATAGGTGGGATATCTAACGGCAGCAATGGAGAATCGTGCACGGAGGTGATGGTGCCGGTGGCTCACAACAAGAGAAGTCCGGTACTCCTACTCATGGGTGGTGGAATGGGTGCCGGCAAGAGCACTGTCCTCAAAGACATCCTTAAAGAGTAATTTCAACCTCTTATTTTCTTTATTTTCTTCTCTAACTAGCTTATTTTGTTACATGTTAGTTACTTGTACATTAAAATACTTACACGTTGAGCACTTAATTTAACTGATTGTATATAGTAAAATTTATTTTAAGTTAACAATAATTGATTTACTAAATAGGTCACCTTTTTTAATTTAAGGGTAATAATTTGTTTAAATAATTATCATAAATGCATGCTAAGAAAGATATGAATTTGTTGTTGTAGCAGGCCGTTTTGGTCAGGAGTTGGGTCAAATGCGGTAGTAGTGGAAGCAGATGCTTTCAAAGAGACGGATGTCATTTATAGAGCACTAAGTTCTAGTGGTCATCATGGTGATATGCTTCAAACTGCTGAATTGGTAATCACTCGTATTATTCTCACTTTAAATATTCTCTCCGTCTCTTTAAGATTGAGTCGCTCTTCTCTTCAATGCGCATTTATTCTTTTAAAGTCGTCTTATATTACAAAGTACGGAGTATATCTTCAATTCACGAGTAAATCAATATATTTTCGTTTTTAGTATTAAGTTGGGAATTTATCTTCAATTCACGAGTAAATCAATATAATAAATATATATATTACTCCCTCCGTGTTTTTTTAAGTGTTCCAGTTTGACTGGCACATAATTTTAGGCAATTTAATTGACTTAAATAAAATAAGAGATAAGTGGGGTATTAAAAAATTGTAAAAGAAAAATAGTGGAGTTAATAGTTTATTGAAAAGTAATGAATGTGAGAGGAAAGATATAATAAAAAGTAGTGGGTTTGAGTGAGGATCATGAGAGGAGAGATATATAATATTTTAATGTAGTTTTTTGCCAAAAAGGAAGTGTAACATTTAAAAAAACACGGCCAAAAATAAAAAGTATATCACTTAAAAAACACGGAGACAGTATAAGGCTCAAATGTCGGTGACCAACTTTTAAAAGTTACATAGTATTGACAGCTGGAAAACAACATTTGTTGGCCAATCAAATCAAGTAATTCTGTAAATGGATTTGACTACTAATTTACCTAAAATATTTGATGCTTAGACCATGATTTCATTTTTTTAAAACGGAGATTTGGCCATGATCTTACTATGGAATAATTAGTGGATCTAGATTTTGTTAATGAATTTATTTATTTGTTGTTACATGAAAACCATTTATAGTATAACATGTCATCGTGCAATCAAATAAACTTTCACAAGAATTATGCATTAAAAAAAAAATACTTAATAACAAAAATTCTAGTCTTAAGAATATTCTTCTTTCTCTAGTGCCATGTACGTGTTTGGGCAATCGAGGAGTGCGTCAGCCTAGTTTGGATCGAATAAAACTGAAACTAAATCGAGATTAAGGACTTTAATTTAAGTTTATTGCATATACGGATAAGATTATATTTAGAATAAATTTATCTGACTTGAAAATTAACACGTTACTTGTCAATTCAATTTGGTCCAATCTTTTTAATATCTAAGATTTTAAATGTGGATTTGAGATAGAGAGACTAATGTTGATTTAAAAATAGGTACATCAATCATCAACAGATGCAGCACAATCGTTGCTAGTAACAGCCTTAAATGAAGGGAGGGATGTCATAATGGACGGGACATTAGCATGGATGCCCTTTGTGGAGCAAACAATAGAAATGGCTCGCAACGTACACAAGTGTAGGTATCGAATGGGACTTGGTTACAAGGAAGCAGAAGATGGCACGACTATAGAGAATTATTGGGAGCAAGTGGAAGACGATGATGCACATTCAAAACAAGTAAAGGGCCGGAAGCCCTATAGAATTGAGCTTGTTGGTGTTGTTTGTGATGCTTATCTTGCGGTTGTAAGAGGCATCAGGTATATGTTCCATACTCCCTCCGTTTTTTTTTTTTTTTTGTTAGTCTTTTTATTTGGTTGGTGCTCGTAAACTTAAGAATGGATGAAACAGGAGAGCAATAATGGTTGGAAGGGCAGTGAGGGTACAATCACAGCTAAAGTCTCACAAGAGATTTGCAAGTGCTTTTCCAAAATATTGTGAGCTTGTTGACAATGCTAGGCTTTATTGTACCAACGCCGTATGTGGTCCACCCAGGGTAATTTCTTCTCCCTTGTCTATTTAGTATTTACCCCCCTTAAGACTCATGCATAGTCCTATACAATTGCATCATCATAAACTTACAAAACGGGCATGTGAATAAAATCAACACGTTTACATCATCTTAAATTTACAAGACGGGGATGTCAATACAAAACTAACGTTGTCTTAAATATCACATCTTAATATTACACGTCTTAACGGGCATGTGATAAAGGTTTTGAATTCATAGGGTTACATCATTACTTAACGATAAGAACCAAGTACAATATTCAACTGGTGGTAATTGAATTTTATGATGTGCAGTTGATAGGGTGGAAGGATGGACACAGCAGACTATTAGTAGATGTGGAAGAAATTAATTGTCTAAACATATTGGGTAGCCTCAATGACGAAGCTGAGTCCATTTATGAACTTCACACGGATAAAAGCCCACTTTCTCATCAGGGCTCAGCCTGGAAAGAAATGATCTTATCACCTTTGAGGCCCAATATTCAGAAGGATCTCAAGACTGCCATTCTTAACTGTGAACTTGCTGTATCCTAAATTGCATTGGCCCACCTAATTTTTTCTGGATTCTACTTTTGTTATCCTTCCCCCATTTCAAACTTTATTGGGTAACCTGGATTACAAAATTTGAAATTATGATCAACCAAGGATTATTGATATTTGACGCAAATTCAAATTGAATCTGCGTTTTTAGCCAGAGTTTTGCCCTTGAAATTTAAATTAAGAATTTTGGAAATGGAGTATCATTAATTTTAACAGAAATTTGTTAATACCATAATGCAATTACAAAAATTCAAAATTTCACTGACATGAATATTTGTAGATTGTCAAAAATTCAATATATTTAACCTTCAACAAAATTGAGAATAAAACAAAAAAGTTAATAAATCTCGAATATATGGATAAGATCATTTGTGATTATCCTTCGACAGACCTTCAAATTGTAAGTGAATAAAAAACAACCCATGAATTCCACAATTAATGACAGTATCAAAGACAATCAATGAAATAAAATCAAAGCAAAGGATGATATATATTAAAGCAATAGATAATATAGTGAAATCCAGATTTCTAATTTGTATTAAAGCTGAAGGACTTAAAAACAGGCAATTAAGCTAAACTGAGATAAAATGATTAGCCATCTAATCATAAATGATAAAACCTAATTTGAATAACAAACCAAACTACTAGTAAAAGTCTGAGTTTTCTACAAACCCTAGAATTTTTTAAACTACCTAAGTAGTTATGATAATCAACATTCAACCTTCTCTAAACACAAACTTAAACCTATCGACAAATTTACAAACTCAAATCATCACAAATAACAACTCTAATTCACTTCTTGTTAGTCTTCTTCATCGCAACGATTTTCTTCACGGCAGTAGCTTTCTTCGCCGGCGACTTAATACTCTTCGGCTTCTTCGCCTTCACCGGCGCAACCTTCTTCGCCGGCGACTTTGCCGGAGACTTCATCGACACCTTCTGCTTCTTTGCCGCCGTTGTCGACGCTTTAGCCTTTGCTGTGGTGGTCTTGGCTTTGGCACCGGCTGCTTTTGGCTTAGCGGCGGCAGATTTTTTGGCTGGCTTAGCGGCGGCTTCCTTTGATTTTGGCTTGGCGGCGGCTTTTGGCTTCTCGGCGGCGGCTGGTGCGGCGGTCGGAGACTTCTTCGAGGTGCCTGGTGGAAGTTTGAAGGATTTCTTCACCATGACGAGCTTTCCAGAAGCAACGCTTTTCTTCAATTGGTTGAAGAGAAGCTTTCTGAAGTTTGGAGGAAGGTCGCGAACCTTCTGTTGCTCTTCGATGTGTTTCGCGATTGCGTAATGGCTTGATCCTGTTCTCTCCTTGAGAGAAACCAATGCTTCTGTTATCATCTGCGAGAAATTTCCAGAAATTCATCATCAAAAATTCACAAAATCCTTCAACGATGATTGAAATAATGCTCAAAATCAAGCGAAACATTCACCAAAACCTCAAAAATGTCCAGAAATAAATCATTTTCATCATTACAAAACCGCATAAAAATACTCCGAAACTACGATGATTGAAACAAAGCTCAAATCATGCTAAGCATTCACCAAAACCTCAAAATGTCCAGAAATTCATCATTTTTATCACTAAACATTCACAAAATCGCATAAAAATACTCTGAAACTCAACGATGATTGAAACAAAGCTCAAATCAAGCAAAATATTAACCAAAACTTCATGAAATCGAGCAAAAACATATCAGAAACTCAGAAAATTCCTTCAATCTACCAAAGTCGAATCAGAATAAAAAAAAAAAAAAGCTATAAAAATCATTCAAAAAAATCAGAGGAGAACAAATACCTCGATATAAGGAGGATGAGAAGGAGCAGATTTCGCAGCAGCAGCTTTCTTCGGAGCAGAAGTTTTCTTCACAGTCTTAGTAGCAGTACTAGCAACCATGATTTCAGACTTTGAGAAAATTCTCACAAAAAGGAGAGAGAAAATGAGAGAGAATATCAGAAAGAGTACAAAGGAAGAATCAATAGATTGATGGAAGATAGTGGTAAAGGGGGAATGAATATTTGGGGAGATATATAATGAGTCACTAAGAGTGATCTGATTGGTGGAAAGGAAAGCACACGGATTATGACTTCTTTGAAATGAGTGCGATTGTGATCCGTTAGATGGAATGTAAATCAATGGCTGGTATTGTGTTTAAGATGGTGACACGGATCGTGGGATGATGGATTAGGATAGTGTGTTTTTTAGGTCATTTTGAGTGTCTGATATTTTGAAGGATGTCAGTTTTTGTGAAAGGAATGATATTACGTAACGGATTTTTTTAGGGTGGCCCACTTTACCTTAAGTGTAACCGCCTTGTTGGTTAGAAATGTAGATTTTTTTTTAATTAAAAACTTTAATGATGTTTTTGGATGTGTATACGGAGTACGAATTATGTTTTGTAATACGAAGTACATAACGGTATAAATGTACGTAGTATAAAACATTTGTACAAGTCTTAAAGATTGTGCTCGGTTTTTTTTTTTTTTTTTACATGAGCTTAACTAACGGAATAAAAGGATAAAAACTATAGAATACATTCGCCAAGCTACTCATAGAAGCTTTACAAATTTGCAACCGCGTTATAATAAATTGTCGGCTTGAAAACTCAAGTATTGGCCTTTGAACATGTTGTAAGAGATACTCCGTACCAAATTTTACTTTTGTCGGCTCTAGATCCCCATTCTCGTTGAGTTTGGGGAATCTAATATATAATTGTAGATTTAATTTTGCAGTACTTAAGGTCTGTTCTCATACGTTGAAATTCAGTTCAGCTCCTAATTTCCTTCTCTTATAAAATATTCAGTTCAGTTCAGTTCATTCAGCTCAGCTCAGTTCAGTTCAGCTCCTAATTTCCTTCTCTTATAAAATATTCATTTCAGTTCATTTCATTCAACTCAGCTCAGTTCAGTTCAGTTCAGTTTCTAATTTCCTTCTCTTATAAAATATTCATTTCAGTTCATTCAGCTCAGTTCAGTTCAGTTCAGTTCAGCTGAGTTCAGTCAATGAGAACAGGCCCTTAACCACATCACTCCAAAACCCCAATCCTACAATTTGGTGCATTTTTTATTTATTTATTTTTTATTTTTTGAAAAATAACTACCTTTTTTTCTTTTTTTTTTCTTTTTGTCAATAACTTCCACTTCTCTAAATTTAAGATAAAATAAATAAATAGATATCATGTTAAAAAATTAGTGTTGAAAAAAGTATTTATTTAATCATTATACATAACACGAAATCATAATTTACCCAATTGAAGATAAAATAAATAAATAGATATATACAATATATATCTCCATATATAATTGCACATCATTTTTTAACAACATTCAACTACAAGCATATTTATTAATGTTTTTTCATCTTATAAAAAAGTTAATATATACAGTAACCACTTTACTTTTAAATTTTTGAGGAAACTACCCACTTTACTTATATTACAAATGTACACACTAAATTTTTATAACACAATATTGGAAGGAATTTATATTATAATTGCACGTTTAATTTTTTAATTTTGTATTATCCCAACTCTTGAAAACTTCAATCTTAAAATTATAGCCATTCTATTTATTTTTGAAAATGATATAGCCCCCCAATAAGTTCACTAACTTTTAGCTGGCCTCTTTATGAAATTACTCGTTTACTGTTATAATGGTTACTCCGTTACGAATATATAGCTTACTTAGTAAATAATACAGGGGTTATGTTGTTTTCAGGGTTACGCAAAAAGTATAATAGGGTTTATCATTTCAATATAATACAGGTTACTCCATTTTTCTACCAGTAACCCCACGGTGTTGCTATGCACAGAAAACTAACACGCTGGCATAAGATCCATAATTTTCCTTTAAAAAAAACTTAGTACATTGTATTTGTTTTAATATCTTATATCCCGTGAAATTCACGAGTACACTCTAGTTAAGGAACAAATTAAATGAGCAAATATGTAACATGCATCCTATTGTGATATATTTGGCCCTTCATTATCAATGTTACATATTTGCAAACTAGTGCTACATTTGCATTATATTTTGTAGTTGATCAAATATTGTAGGGTTATAGTAAATACAATAAAAGATTTGCATTAATTTTGGGGTTGATATAGTTAATATAACACTAGTGTGATTTACGGAGTATCAGTGTATGTTGTTGCAAATTTTACATTTTTCATGCTCATTCATATCAATGTGATTTATAGTCTTCTTCGATGGAGGCCGGGGACAAGGTCTACCGATCTATATGTAACCGTCAAGAAACTTTCATTTGATTGTAATCGATCAAAAAATCAACCTTTGTTTTAACCCCGCACAAGTCATTACTTAGTTATGAAACAATTTCACAGCATACCATCATGCAAAAAAACAAATTCCCCCTTAAAAGAAATAAGAAGAACTCCGTCTTTCAAATGAGAAAATCTTCTCATAAAAGGAAAAGTTATCATAAACCTAAAACAAACAAAGGTAGATAGAAAAAGGCACACAAAATATAAAGTTTAGGGTTTTTTCGCTGGTATACAATCGGCGATGGAAGCTGTTAAAGTAAAAGTCTATGATCGATTTATATACTCTTTCTAAAGCCCATTGAAAATTAACAATGGTGGCTAGGGTTTTAGAGAGAGGGTAGGGTTTTTCTTAATTTGTGATTTCAATTCATCTTCATCATAATAAACATCTAATAGGTATGATAATTTTTATACTCCGTATGAGAGTATTCATTTATTTAATTTTACTCATGTATCTCAATACTTTTGCGTTTAGATGTAATCGGAGGAGTAAAAAAAGTTTCTAGCTGGGCTTGAAAAAACTAATTGCAAAAAAGGAATAAGAGAACGTGCTCGGCGCTAGCGTTTGAGTAGCTTTTAGGTAGCTTTTAGTGGTTTGACTAAATCAAACCACTACTTAACAAAAAGTGTGAGTGTTTGGCATAGTAGCGGTCAGGGTAGCTTTTAGTGGTGGAGGTAGCTTTTATGAAAAGTTAGAAATGTTAGCTTTTGAAAGTAGAGGTAGCTTTTTGAGGTAGCTGTTGAAATTTAATCTATAGTTTTAAATGTAAAATATTGATTTTTATATGTAACAGTCAGTACGTCAACCGCTACTTTACCGAACATTCATACCTCAATTATCTATTTTCAAAGCTACAGCTTGTTGGCAACTAAAAGCTACCTTCACAGCTAACAACTACATTTTGCCGAACACGCCCAAAGAAAAGACACTACTAGAATCGGGCAAATAACAACAGATTTTCCACGACAGCTATCAAAACAGTCGTAATTTTTAAATTTTACGACAGTTTTAGTAGCCGTCGTAATGTTACGACGGTTTTTTAAACTGTCGTTGATTTGCGACGGTTTTTGGCCAATAAAACTGTCGCAATAGACAGTAAAAATAATTATAAAAAAATTAATATTTACGACAGTTATTAACTGTTGCCAATTATGACAGTTTTGAAAACCGTCGTAATTTGCGACAGTTTATGGCTGTCGTAGAATTGATTTTTTTAAATGGGTATTTAAATACCCAACAAGCTAAGCCCACACCAAACCCTAATACTTTCCGCCATTTTCATTTCTCCTTTCTCTTTGTCAATTAGATCATCTTCTCTCTCCTCTTCCAAATTATCTTTTTCTCTGATATTTTCCCCTCTTCTCCTCCTCTCTTTTCTTATCTTCTCTCTGTTCTCATCCTCCTTTCCTCTTTTTCTCATCCTCCTTTCCGCTCTTTCTTGCGTTAAAAACAATGGAGAAGGTGGTGAAGGGAAATTCGTGTGTTTGAGGTTATATTTCGTGACATTGAGGTTTTGTTATGTCAAATTCGACCATAAAAATTCCAGATCTGGAGTTTTTATGGTCGTATTTGACAATCAACACCCAAAGAAAAGGAAATTTTCGAAGGTATGTTATATTTTTTTTTTTTTTTTTTTTGTGAAAATAGTATAGTGCACCCAGGTGCACCATGCACTCGGAAAGAACATTAGACATATTTTAAAGAACATGGGCAAAAAAAAAAATAACATGCTAGTCTTTGAAAAAGAACATACCTGTGTTTGACAAAAGAACATGTTTGTGTTTGACAAGAACATGACATTACAAAGAACATAAAGTCTTTACAAAAAGAACATGTTATTTTTCATGGTTATTTGGATGGTTAAACGTGTTTGAAAAAGAACATTATATTTGACAAAAAAGAACATGTTCGTGTTTGACAAAGATATAGGTGATCATTGGGCGGACTGAGCCAAGGTTAAAAAAACAGCTCACTTTTCGAGTCGGGCCAAGTTTTGGGCTGAAATTTTTGTGCCCAAACCTGCCCAAAATGGTCCGGTCGTGCGGGCTTTTCGTGTTGAGTATAAAAAAACAACTAAAATGCATAATAACGCAATCCCAAACCCGCCCAAAAAATTAAATTTACGGGCCGGGTCCGACCGAATTAGGGGGTGAATTTTTTTTGCCCAAAACCCGTCCAAAATCAAGCCGGGTCGGTCTAACTTTGATCACCTCTAACCAAATAACATAAAGTCTTTACAAAAAGAACATGATAATACAGTAAAGAACATGTTCTTTTTTCTAGTTACTCGGGTGATTGATTTTTTTTTTTTTTTTTTAATGTACATACATTAAAGAACATATTGTATAATGTAAAGAACATATAGTTCAAACTCAAAGAACATATTAATCAAATTTAAAGAACATATTATGCTCACGTTCTTTATAAATATCTATAATGTTCTTTTTTTCGCCCATGTACTTTTAAATATACCGAATGTTCTTTCCGGGCGCATGGTGCACCCGGGTCCACCAACCATACATTATTGTTTTTGTTATTGTGGTTTTTGTTATATTTTAATATTTTTGGTCTAAATTCTTTATTTTGTGTTGTTTGTTCGTTTGTTCGTTTGTTTTTTTTCCATTTTTTTCCTGTTGTTTTCGTTTGATTTTGTTATGATTTGTTTATTTTCTTTTGATTTATATACTGTGGCCTTTTTGTTCAAATTTGTACTGTTAAGATATTTTTT